TTTTTTTCTTTTTTTTTTTTAAATGGTAATTTTAAAATAAATTATATGGATTTGGTAAAATAAAATTGTGACAACAGATCAAAGAGGTAATATGTAATTTATCTGAAAAATTTTATAGCATTTTGAAATTCTAAATAGACATTTAAATCAACTAAATATTGAGAAATGAATGCTTTATATTTATAAGATTTCCCTCAGATAAAATCACACATTAAAATTAAAAATATGATGTATTTTGTAGATATATTATGTCTTCTTAACATAATTATGTCATTCTTATACCATTTATAAGATGAACAGTTTTAAAAACCCATTAAAGTATAGAATTTTCTACAAAACTGTATTTTTTTAAAATTCAGTATTATTTTCAGGTTTTGATATCGCATTGAAATTCAACTCACAAGTTTATGAAAATGACCAGGGTGATTAGGCCTAGGGGAGTGGTGGGGTAGTTTGCTTTGTCCCTCTAGTCCAGTGATTTTATGCCACTGACATTAATTTACTGAAAGCTTACTGCAGCCGGTGATGAAAATATGTCATTTACATTCAGTTATAATTTTTGGCTTAGCTAACCCCTATAAAAACATAACGGTCCACAGATTGTATGGAAATTATATTCCCCCCCCCCCCCCCCGACAATACCACCCCAATTTTTGTGCCACTTATAATGTGATAATTTAATTAGGAGACTGATATAAAAAATTAATTTGAAGCTGTTAAAAAACAAGCTTAGATTTATAACCTACATGAACAAATGGTACGTTTCACTTTTGTCAAACTTATTCTGATTGAGCTTGAATTAAAGGAAATGCATTTAATAAAAGCTATTTCGACCTTCTAAAAACCAAGCTTTCTACAGTTATATATTTGACACCTGTCCATCTTAAGGAGACTATGACGTGGCTTTTTGTGGATGTTTCAGAATCACTGGTTCATACAGACCCTCTAAATATATTTAAGGTAAATTTACCCATTCAAAAATAACAACAACTAACATTGGTAAACATTTGTTGTTTTTGTTTTACAGAAAATGGCAGATTCAAAGAGTATTAAGGTCATCTATTTTGACCTGACTGGTCGTGCGGAAATTCTCAGACTCATTCTAAGTGCAGCTGGAAGAGAGTTCGAAGACGTTCGCCTGGCAAGAGACAAATGGCCAGAATTCAAACCAAGAACCCCGTTTGGCCAGGTTCCTGTAGTGGAAATTGATGGTGTAGCATATGCCCAGACTGCGGCCCTGGCCTCTTATTTAGCCAAGGAATTTAACTTCTACGGCAAGAACAACTTGGAAGGGCTCAAGATCGACATAGTTGGTAACCTGACAGAAGACTTAATTCAGTCGTTTGCCAGGAGTTTCCGCGAACAAGACCCAGTTAAGAAGGAGGAAATCCTGAAAGAGATCAAGAAAGAGGTCGGCCCCAGGTTTCTCGGCTACTTTGAGAAAATCCTGAAAGACAACGGTACCGGGTTTGTTGTTGGAGACAGAGTGACCCTGGCCGATCTTATCATCTATGACATCAGCACAGGATTTCTCAAGCCCACCGTGGAGGACAGCATCAAAGATTTCCCACTGGTCCAAAAAGTCGTGGAGACTGTTGGCGAGATTGACGGAATTAAGAAGTATGTGGCCAGCAGGCAGTGATGAAATTAAATGGAAAAAATATAAAACTATTCAACATTAATCTTTATGTCATTTGTCATGTTCGGTCAGATTTACTAAAGTCTTATTCATTTATTTCACCCATCTTCAGTTTTTGTTCCAAGCAAACTGTGCGTATTTTATGGTGAACAGACTTGAAAACATTATTTGAATTGCAACGTAATCATTTAAACTTAACAAACTGTCTATTATACAGAGCCACAAACTGGTTGCTGTATTGCTGTTTGCACCAACCATGTTGTGTTGCACGGTGTGAATGCATTTGTGAGATTCTTTCTGAAGGAAATAAATACTGGTAAACAGAAGTGTATTTGTTACAATGTTAATTTTTCTCTCCTTAGAATGGATGCATGCCTGTCATTTAGTTTGTGGCTGCCTGTCATTTAGTTTGTGGCTGCCTGTCATTTATTTTGTGGCTGCCTGTCATTTAGTTTGTGGCTGCCTATTATTTTGTCAGATTCTTCTTCTGTCTGATTCTTCTTCTGTCTGATTCTTCTTCAGTCTAATTATGCTACTTTCCACCTCTATGGGGGGAGTCACTGCCATCTGCTGCAAGGTGAGGCTTGCTAAGGGTTAACACCGCTTAGGCGACACAAATCAGGTACTATTTATAGGGAAATAGCCAAATGTGGCTAGGATGAAGCAACAAACTTCACACAGCTCTCTGTCCCCACCCCCCCCCCCCATGCGCCCTCCCCACGTCTTGTCCCAAATACTTCATATCTTATGTTTCATTACCGTTATCCCTTTTTTTTTTTTAACTGTAGAATCCAAACTTGAAATGAGCCCAGGAACACGGAGACAGATAAAGTAACAAAGAACACAACCTGTCATCATAATCAATTCATTTTAGAGTGTTGTTTTTAAATAAGGGAAACAAGCAATGTTGGAAGCCGCATTTCAACTTTAAAATAAAGTGTAGCAATGTCGATGCCCGATTACTTCCCCTTAGTGTCTAGCTCAGCTTCAACTGTGAATGACGTTGTCATGGGCACCGTTTCATAATGGTTATTTTTATGGGATATTAAGGCAGAGAGACAGGGAAGACAATGTGATCATACTCAGAGCCGAGGCAAACAAAATTATAAAATATATACCTGCATTATAATACACGTTTTATTGAAAATTGGCGCACGGACTTTGCCTTTGAGCACCCTCAAATGTCCTTCACACCACCCACCCCCATTGTCGCAGGCCCTTACCATACAAAGTTTAGATACGTCATTGTGTTTAAGTTTAATGTGTACTGTAATTTTTTATTTATTTTTAAAAAAATATATATTTTTTTTTTGTCTACACGTCATCTTGTCTTATGTTATTTCGTTAGGTTTTCTCCATTCTGGTTTTAGCCTAACCTGTGTTTCTCCTTACTTCTTATGTCCGCACTTTCTTTTACGATGTGTTTAAAACATATTTAAGGAAAACTTACCCACTAAGTATGTTGTAATAATTGACTTAATTTTTTATAATTTATGACGATTCAATTTCAAATAGAATGTCATGAAGACTGACTCTTTGATAGAGGGACAGATATCGTTTCTCCATTTTTTTGTATAAGTTTGTGGACTGCTACTGCTCCGTGACACTTCTTATGCTCCCCATCGTTGGTCTCGGTCCATTGGCAATAAAAAAAATTTTAAATCCAAAAACGCGAAATATTTACCAAATACCTATTATTGTCTACTTGGTATGAGCTCAATGGAAATTTTATAATGTTAAGTGGCACTCCTACTTGTACAGGCGCATAAAGCCAGGGGCGTCATTTCAGTTGTTGTTTTTTCAAAAAAAAGGTGAAGGGCGGGCGCAACGCCAAAACTTGGTCCGTTCGTTTAAGTTGTTTATTACTGGAAGTGCCACAGTACATAGCAATTTAAATAAAAATTCAGAGGGGGGTGCAAATGCCCCCTCCTGTCCTACCCAAATGACGCCTCTGCATCAAGCTTTTTTAAACATGAGTGGTCTCTCTTGACATGTAAAGCCAAGATTGGCTTATCTGTTTGGGAAACATCCATGTGTCCGTAGTTTAAATACAAACACTTGAATTTGAACTTGAATCGAGCTTTGAAATATTTTCTGGTTGTTGTTTTCTCCCCCACTGGCGTTCAAAGATGTAACAAGTTCTAATTTATGTAAATTTAAAATCAGTTTTGGCAAATTAATTACAGTGATTAACTTAAAATGCCAACTTCGACATCTAACGTGTATATGGCCCTGGCCTGTTTGGGCTTCCTGAATTTGGCGACCGCTGCCAGCGTCCCAAGCAACACCCATGACGTGTTAGTAACTCTTGACAAGGGGCAGCAACTACGAGGCGTCAAGGTGAATCTAGGTACAGGAGAGGCCGTCAACAAATTCTATGCTATACCATACGCTAAACCCCCAACTGGTAGGTACACATATGCTCTATAGATCTATGGTGTATGTTCTTTATATCTGATTCTAATCAATGAATCATTGAAATGATGACAATGTAGCTTTCTCCAAAATTTAAATATTTCTTCACGGAAGTGCATTTTTTGACCACTTTTTACCTTATCGCGCATAGCGAAAATCTGAATTAACCAATGGGAATCCAACCTAGTTATCTTTCCCTACTTCACTTCCTAACCCATGCTCACTTCACACAATGACGCTGTGGCCGTTTTCAAAAACAGTAAATTTACAACAACTAACCTTTTTTTTTTTTTTTTTTTTTTTTTTACTTCTCACAACCTCTTGTGAGATATATTTTGTGATATCATTATTACAATGTTAGCTTTTGGTATGTTTTGGTATGTTTTGGTATGTTTTGGTAGGTTTTGGTATGTTTTGGTATGTTTTGGTAGGTTTCGCCGAAATGTATTAGTTTGCCTTGACGAGACTTAAAGTGATTCCGTTATTTCACATTTCACTCCAAAAATACATCCACGACATGAATTTATGTGTTCGTCCAATCCCTTTGTCCACCTTTCATTCGATGCTTTCGCTTCTATTATACTCCAGGACAATTGCGGTTTGAACCTCCGGCCGCCGCCCTAGAATGGACAGGGGTCAAGGACGCAAAGACACCCGGCACAATCTGTCACCAAAAGCCACGAGCGCACATGGAGCACGCGCGGTCAGAAGACTGTTTGAACCTGAGCGTGTTTTCCCCCAACCTGAACACATCCCACCCCGTGCTCGTCTGGATCCACGGTGGCGGCTTCCACGAGGGCTCGCAGTACGGCGACGGCAGCGGGGCGACGCTGACTCGATTCGGTCTGGTCGTCATCATGATCAACTATCGTCTCTCGCCCTTCGGCTTCTTGTCCACTGGCGATGACGTCATGCCTGGAAACTACGGCATGCTGGACCAGGTCATGGCGTTGAAATGGGTTCGCAAGTACATCCATTTCTTTGGCGGAGACCCCGCTCAGGTCACCATCGCCGGGGAAAGCGCCGGGAGCCACAGTGTTGCTTTCCAAATTCTTTCACCCTTGTCGAAAGGCTTGTTCCACCGGGCCATCATGGAGAGCGGGTCGTCCCTTTCTTCGTCAGCCTGTGAAAAGCCAGGGACATTGGTTAAAGTGAAAGACTTCACGAGAGCCATCGCCACAAGCATCGGGTGTGGGACCGCGAACTCGTCGGCGTTGCTGCACTGCCTCAAACTTGTAGACGCTGGTCGTCTGCTCAATGCGTCAGACGCCGCCGAGCAGAAATTCGGCATATCCTTCATAGGCATCCCCAGAGTGGAGAGAAAGTTCGGGTTCCTCCCCGATCATCCGAAGAACATGATCTCTAGCGGTCATTTTAACAACGTGGATACTCTTAGGGGTTTCAACACGGGCGAGTGGGCCTTCGTTATTCACGATACTGCCAACGACGGGGTCACGAGGCAAGAATTCACACGGTATTTTAGAGAATATTTCCGAAAGAGCTCCTTTGTCAACGATGACGCAATAGAGCGACTCGTGGAGAGGGCTTACCTCGTGAACGAGACGGACCCCGTGAAAATTCGGAAAAGCCTGGTCGACGCCCTGGCCGATTTGACCTACGGTGGCGCCGCCCTCCTTGAGCTGGAGAAAACCGCCGAGGCAGCGGGTCTCACGACCCAGCACTACTTCTACGAGTTCAGCTACAGGGCGAACAACACGGCGACCCCACAGTGGATGGGCGTGGCCCACGCCGCGGAGAGGCAGTTCGTGTTCTTCGACCCCACCTCGGCAGCCCGGACGAACACGGATAAGGCAGTCGGCGCGGAAGTTCAAAGGATGTGGACGAACTTCGTCAAATTCGGCAACCCGACCCCGACAGGGAGCGGAGACGGCGCCGCGCACTGGGACCGTTTCACGCCAACTAATAAGGCCATGATGCTGATCGGTGCTCACCCGGTTCTAGAGAAGGTCCCGAGACCTTTCGTTATCCCCCTTTATGAGCAGGTCCTGCATCTTATGCACGAGGTTAACGCTGTAACGACAGATCCCGTTATCGGCTGAGATGACTCGAGGTTCAAAAATCGATTTTTTTTTTTTTCAAATGCGTTGTTACGTGTACCCGAGGAGGGTTCTAAAAATAAAATAAAATGCAAAGAAAAAAGAAATGTTGAAGAGAATGATTATTATCAAAGGATGTAGACCACATCATGTTCGTCTGTTCCTTGTGTTGCTTTAAAGTGAGGCGTAACGATAATTGTCATACCATGGCAAAAAACTCGAATGGCTTCCGACAATATGATGTCAAGATGATCTTTTCAGCATACTCTCTTGTTAGATCTCTTTGTGTGACATCAGATTTGTTTTTTCATGGCCTCTATGTGACGTCATATTTATGTCTGTTCATGTCTTCATGTTACGTGATTTTTCCGGATTACGTTTTACAGTCTACGTTTTGCCATATGATATATCTCCTAGGGACCAAAAGTTCACAGTGCCATATGTTATATCTCCTAGGGAAAAAGTTCGCAATGCAAATTGTTATAACTCCTAGGGACTAAAGTTCACAATGCCATATGGTATGGCTCATAGGGACCAAAGTTCACAGTGACATACGTTACAACTCCTAGGGACCAAAATTTCATAGTGCTATATGTTAATGACTGATAAAATATAAAATTAATTAAACAGTCTATATCAGAAGTAGCACTGATACCATCTAATGGAGACAAAAAAGAGATTCTACGACATCTTGGTTACTCTGCTGGAAGGAAAAAGGTGAGATTCTCTGGCACTTTGTTTACTCTAACGGAGACAAAGGGGAATTTGATTTTTCAATTATCTGCCTGCTGAGATAGCTGCAATTAGAAATATTAAACTATCTCCTTATGGTAGAATTTATATGCAAAGAAAAGATTTGATTAGAAGTAAACTCATTCTTTATCAAGACCCAGCAGCACTCCTCACTTGCGCGTAGGTCATGAAGGGCTCTCTTTCTCCACTTTGATCTATCTACCAATGCCCTCCAGTCACTCCATGCCATCCCATTTCGTCATTCTCTTTATTTTTGTCTTTTCTTCCATAAGTTCTATAGCATCCAAAGCCCCATCTTGGTCCTCATCATGCCCTCTTGGTCCACATCATGTCCTCTTGGTCCACATCATACCCTCTTGGTCCACATCATGCCCTCTTGGTCCACATCATGCCCTCTTGGTCCACATCATGCCATCTTGGTCCACATCATGCCCTCTTGGTCCACTTCATGCCATCTTGGTCCACATCATGCCCTCTTGGTCTACATCATGCCATCTTGGTCCACATCATGCCACCTTGGTCAACATCATGTCATCTTGGTCCACATCATTCCCTCTTGGTCCACATCATGCCATCTTGGTCCACATCATGTCATCTTGGTCCATATCATGCCAGCTTGGTCAACATCATGTCATCTTGGTCCACATCAGGCCCTCTTGGTCCACATCATGCCCTCTTGGTCCACATCATGCCATCTTTGTCCTCATCATGCCTCCTTGTTTCTCATCAAGCCTTCTTTCGTTTTTTTACTCTTCTTTTTTCCACATCATGCCATCTTAGTCCACATCATGTCATCTTGGTCCACATCATGCCCTCTTGGTCCACATCATGCCATCTTGGTCCACATCATGTCATCTTGGTCCACATCATGCCATCTTGGTCCACATCATGCCATCTTGGTCCACATCATGCCCTCTTGGTCCACATCATGCCCTCTTGGTCCACATCATGCCATCTTGGTCCACATCATGCCACCTTGGTCCACATCAAGCCAGCTTTCGATTTTTTAAAATTCTTTTAATATATAGATCTAATTATATTTGTACCCACTCATTTTTTTGTGTGCTAAATTTGTCAATTGTGTCGTTCGGCATATTCTATGTTTGTTCCTTTTTTTTTTTTTTTTTTGGCATTTTTTAAGTTTGTTATTTTTTTTTGTTGTCGAATCTGTTTCTGTGTGTGCTGGTGTGTGTGTGTGTGTTGCTGTGCATATTGCTGTCTGTTTTGCTGTGTATGTTGCTAAATAATATATGTTGCCGTGTGTGTTTCTGTAAGTGGTACTATGTGTGTTTCTGTGTGCGTTGGTGTGTGTTGCTGTGAGTGTTTCAATGTGCGTGATTGCTGGGACCATTATTTTAATGTATGTAGCGATTCCCTTTACACCACTTTTTACAAATGCACTTTCGTGAAACGAGATGCTGGCAGAGGCGTACCCAGTGGTGGCGAAGGGACCACTTCCCCCCGTGCGTTGGCTTAGCAGTACCACTTTGCCGGTCATCAGTCCATAACACTCATGGGGTTTACATTGCATCCTTTTTTCAAAAAGGTATTTCTTTCCCTTTTCATACTTTCTTTTTAAACAAAGATTTAACTAAAGCAGTCGCTGTTTATTAATTTCACATCTTGAGAAGCCGCTGAGTTTTTAACTTCAAATCTTTAGTATTACTTAAGTATTAAAAAACAAAAAAAAGCCTTATCATTGATTAGACGCGTGATGTCGTGGAGTTTGGGGTTTTTATTATATAAGATGTTCACTAGATAAGGACCGCCTGATTCTTTTACCTTTAAACCAACACAAACAATGACTGATACAAGGGCGCACGTCCTCGCTGCTCTCGTCTGGTTTGGCGCCCTGTGCTTTGCGACTGCAGCTCCAAGTGGCAGCCATGACGTCATCGTCGCACTGGACAAGGGGCAGCAACTGCGAGGTGTGCGTGTGACCTTCAGCTCGGGTGAAGCCGTCAGCAAATTCTATGGGATTCCATACGCCCAGCCTCCTACGGGTAAGTTCCTGTACTTTAATTCCTTCCCATCTCGTACAGATTACTTCATGTGCTTCAATCCCCATCAAACCTCCTGCAACTTACAAGTAAGTTCATGTCCTTCAATTGCTCCCCGACCCCAAACAGGTAAGTTCCTGTGCTTAAATCTCCCTCAAACATCCCACAGCCTACAGGTAAGTTCCTGTGCTTAAATCTCCCTCAAACATCCCACAGCCTACAGGTAAGTTCCTGTGCTTAAATCTCCCTCAAACATCCCACAGCCTACAGGTAAGTTCCTGTGCTTAAATCTCCCTCAAACATCCCACAGCCTACAGGTAAGTTCCTGTGCTTAAATCTCCCTCAAACATCCCACAGCCTACAGGTAAGTTCATATGCTTAAATGCACATACAGCTTACAGGTAACCCCCCGAGTTTAAATTCCTCCCCAATCTCCTACAAGTAAGTGACTGGAGTTTTTAAAAAATTAAAAAAATCAATTAGCTTATCGTCGATGTGGGCGGCAACCTTTTTAAGAATCGCAAATAGCTTTGAAAGAAAATCACATCACGGTTTTCGACACACAAAAATGTATCTTTAAAATAAGTTTATTTGAGTGTGCTACCGTTTAAAGGCTTTCTTTCTTCTTTTTTTTCCTTGGGGCGGAGGGGGGTAGACAGGAGTTGAAAAAATAATCATGTTGTTTTTTTTTGACCACCCAGGTGAAAGACGCTTCGAACCACCAGCAGCTGCCCATGAATGGTCCGGGATAAGAGACGCTCGGACCCCAGGAACAATCTGCCCCCAGAATCCATCCCAACAGAACGTGCAGTACACGCGCTCCGAGGACTGCCTGAATCTCAGCGTCTTCTCGCCGGACGTCAACTCCTCACATCCGGTTCTCGTATGGATCCACGGGGGTGGATTTCGCGTCGGGTCACAGTTCAGCGACGGTGACGGGTCCACGCTGGCCCGTTACGGCATCGTCGTGGCCTCGATCAACTATCGCCTCGGACCGTTCGGTTTCCTGTCCACGGGAGACGACGTCATGCCTGGAAATTATGGACTGCTGGACCAGATCCTGGCGCTGAAATGGGTGCAGAAGAACATCCATTTCTTCGGCGGTGACCCGACTCAGGTGACCATTGCAGGGGCGAGTGCGGGGGCTATCAGTACATCCTTACACATCTTGTCCCCGCTGTCAAAGGGTCTTTTTAAACGAGCCGTCATGGAAAGTGGATCCTGTTTTGTGGCGTCCGGTCTGGAAAGACCAGGGTCGACGGTACAGGTGAAAAACTTCACCGCGGCAGTGGCGGCGAAAGTCGGCTGCTCCAACACGCACTCCTCTGCGCTGCTCCACTGCCTGCGAGGTGTGGACGCTGATCGCCTGCTCAACGCATCCGTCGAGACGGAACACGCCTTCGATATACTGTTCATCGCTGTACCCAGGGTAGAAACTACCTTCGGGTTTCTCCCCGACTACCCGAAGAACATTCTCGCCAGCGGCAACTACAACCACGTGAGCACCCTGAGAGGCTTCAACTCCGGAGAGTGGGCGTACGTGGTCCAGGACAGCAACAACGACGGCGTCACCCGCGAGCAGTTCACGCGCTATTTCAGACGCTATTTTCACAAGAACTCGTTCGTTAACAATGACGCCATAGAACGGCTGGTCGAGGAGGCTTACCTCGCCGACGAGACGGACCCGAAGACCATCCGAAGAAATTTGGTCGCCGCCCTGGCGGATCTGACGTACGGCGGCGCCGAACTCTTGGAACTGGAGAAGACCGTCGAGAGACCGGGCGGGGCGACCCACCACTACTTCTACGAATTCAAGTACAGGGCCAACAACACGGCCACCCCGCTGTGGAGCGGTGTGGCGCACGCCGGGGAGAGACCCTTCGTGTTCTTCGATCAGGCAGACGCCTCCAGATCCGTCGCGGATAAGACTGTCGGTGAACATGTCCAGACGATGTGGACGAATTTCGTGAAGGTCGGAAACCCGACGCCGACTGCTGTCGGAAATAACACGGTTCACTGGAGCCGATTTACCAGCAGCAACCAAGCCATGCTGCTGATCGGGGCTAAACCGGTCTTAGAGAAAATTCCAAGACCTTTTGTTATCTCCCTTTACGAGCAGGCTCTGCAACTCATGCACGCAGCTAAAGTTGTGGACCCTGATGTTGTTATTGGCTAGAATTACTCAACTTCATATTTCAAAGCAAAAACCACAAATAAAAATATTTTTTTTTGAAAATCATTAAGACTGCTTTAGTAATATATTAGATCAAATAGTGATATCTAAAGACAATACTTTCTAATGTCTTTTACTCTGTGTGTGTGCTCATAGTGGCTCCTCAACGGTCCTGTCTGTCCTATCAGACAATTTCTGGTCAAAGCTTCGATCAAATGTCCCTCAGGCTCAAAGAAGCCCGACCAGAATATTGTCTGTTGGATTGCACCATCAAGACGCACAGTTAATAAAGCATCGGACATTACCCACACAACCACCCTCACCGCAACCCACACAACAACAAAAACAACAACCCACACAACAACCCACACAACAACCCACACAACAACCCGCACAATTCCCACACAACAATCCACACAACAACCCACACAACAACCCACACAACAACCCACACAA